GGACTTGGAGGGGACCTGGGCTTGCCGCATCGGACGGTGCACTGCGCTAACGAGGGACTCCGAGAGGGCTTTCTTCTTCTCAGTGAGCCGAAAGACCTCGTCAACCGCAAGGAGCCCAAACTTCTTACCAAACCACTTGAGGGTGTCCCACACCTGTTGAAGTTTGTGAGGAGACACCTCCTGATCACGGAGAGTGTTGAGGAGGGCACGAACGTCGTGCTCCTTCCATGGTATGGCCTTGAAGCCAAGGCGCCTGAGCTCTTCATAGGAGAGGCATCTCATCCTGAGGGTGCGGAATCTAGCATCTCCCAGGAGATCCATGAACTCCCCTTTGAGCTCAAGAGAGATGAGAGTGGTGCCCGAGGGCATTATAGCCGCCATGTGCGGGATTTGTCCAGCAGCCGGGAGGAGATAAGAGAGGAGCCTTGCCCCCCATTTCTCCCGCAGGCCACGCTCCAGGGCCCGCTGGTTGGTAGAATGGTGTTCGGAGACATTCCCCGGTTTCCAGTGGCGCTACGGGCTCATGGTACAGGGGGCCACCAAGATCCCTTCTCGTAGTTCGCGCCACTCAAGGCGGTCTAGTTCTGCCCTTCGTTGGATCACCTCTGTAAACATGTGAGAGGGAGTGCCTGCAGCGACCTTAGTGCAAAGGTCCCAGAGAGAGGTGAGGATCCCCTGAGCATCTTCCTCCCCCGTGGGGCCTGAGAAGAGAGAGAGACCCCTTTCCACAATAAGCTGGAAGACCAGTGTAGGGCGGTATGAAAGGACCACAGGTCGCGGCGGCCCATCGGGGACACCTAGTACGCGATCCAGTTCCTGGGTAGGCCTACAACGGGCCATGAAATCCACAATTTCTTGCCCCCAGGGCCGTGTCACATCAACTTGTTCCTCCTCAAAGGAGCGACCCGACCCCCTGATGATCGGGTCTAGTAACACTCCTGCAAGAACCTCGCCATCAGACTGAAGGGGGCCAATGCCTTGCTCAAAGAGAGCAGAGATGAGAGGGTCAGGGGCCCTGACAAGGGCCCTCCCAAAGGGAGATGGGCAACAAAATACAAAGGTAGTCATCCTGAGCCACGGCGACTACGGGAGAAGGAGAGGTAGGGAAGAGTGAGAGAGAGAGGGAAGAAAAACAATGCAGTCCAAGGGCACTTGTTTTCGCACGGGGCGATGGTCTGTAGGCCGGAAGGTCTGGCAAATAGTCGTTCCCTTTTCGAGGAAGGGGGGAACAATCAGCAACCAGAAGGGAGAGGAGACCCCCTTCAGGGCCATAGGCACCTGGCAGGGGTTCCCCCTCCACATGCCTTGTTCAAAAGAAAACAGGGCTCAGGCCGGGCGGACCCGGGATGCCGCAAGCTCGTGGATCTTCTTGAGGCCATCCCGCTCCGGGTTGGAGAGCGACCAGATCATGTCGGAGACCTGGCCCATGAGGTTCGTCTTGCTGAACCGGAGCCTGGAGCTAAGGCTCGGGTTGACCCGGAGGGAGCGATCACGGGGGGCCGCCGTGGGCTCCACCCTCTTGTAGAACTCGATCCGGTCCTTGACCCAGGACTCGTAGAGGTGCTGGGGGGGCTCGTCCAGGATGAGCTGGAGCTGGGCCGACTTCCCTTTGTGTTCCCCCGTGATGAGAAGGAAACGGCTGGCCCCTCTGCCACTTCGCCAGAATCCTTTGCAGTGGCGGCAAACGTAGCCCCCACGAGTCTCACCCTTCTTCTTGTCAACGATTTCCCACGGGGAAACGGAGCTGAGGACCAGGCCACACTCCATCTTGGCCCAGAAGACGTGGGCCGTCTTATCCCCCACGTTCTTCTTCTTGTAGCCGTCCGAGGCCACGCTCGTGACATTGTCCGGGGTGATGGGCGGGAGAGAGCGCTCCTGCTCCGACCCCGGGTCCAGGGGAATCCTTTCAGCGCCAAAGGCAGCTGAGGAGTCCCTGTCCCCCAAGCCGAGGCCTTTGATGTGGCTCTCCGAGTAGCCAAGCTTGCGGTAGATGGGGCCGGCGTACTCCGGCTTGAGGCGGGCTGTCCACCACTGCACGGTGTTGCAGCGCCACGCCATCTTGACCTCCACCACCGACTCTTGACCCAGCGAGTTGGAGAGCAAATTGTAGATCTCCGGGAAGTGCCGGAAGGCCTTCAAAGGAAGGGTGATCCTTTAGTCACATACGGCTCTCAATCGCATGTGCTGCTTGGAGTCATGGATGTCCGAAACAGGGAGATCCAAGACCACCTGCGGCGTACGGTTGATGAAGACCTTGGCAGCGAAAAATGAGCCGATTTCGCGGTAGAGCTGCTTCCACTCCTGGTTTGTCGTGGGCACCGGGAGGTCGTGCAGAATCACAAACTCTTTGGCCTCCTTCATCAAATCACGGCAGTCGTCTCGTCGCTGCAGGTTCTGCTGCTTGTTCTTGGCCCCTCTCTTATGGGGCCTGACGGTGATCGGCAGGTGGCTCCACACCGCGTAGAGGTGCCTGGCCGAGTAGGTGTGGCCGAAGCAGGAGAAGAGGCTAACCAAGTCCCACGTCTGCACCTCCTTTCTCCAGTGGGTGTTCCCGTCCCCCTCAGCATGGAACGGGCCGATGATCTTATCCAGGGGGGGCCTAGTGCCCATTGCAACCTGTGCCTCAATCTCCTCCATGGTGAGGGCAATCGGCTCGAAGAAGGGCTGCCTGAAGGAGCAGGGGTGTGTCCTCATCTCCAGCATGATCTTCTCCCCTTCGGGCAGGGGCTTTGCCCACGTAGGGGGCTCAAGGGGCCCCGGGTGCTGCTTCCATCTGCCCCCGATCATGCGCTGCTCCCCCATGTGCAGCTCGATGATACGTTTGAGGCGAAGCATCTGGAACTCGACCGAGCCCACTGGAACACCCAAGAATGCCTCCGGGGACTGCTCCTCAGGGCCAAAGGCGCCTGTGGAAGACAGCCCCTCGCCGGAGTCCCGGGCGACCCGCTCGCCCTCACGCTGCAGAGCGGCCAAAGTGGGAAGCTCTTGCAGAAGAGAGGCAGGGAACGGATTCCTGCTTTGGTTTAGCAGGAACTTCGTGTTCAAGTACCTTTCCTTAAGGGCCTCGATGTCGTCAAGCTCCATCTCCTTGAGCGGGCACTCCGGGTTGAACACGTTCATCTCCAGGGCCGCGCGCAGCTGGGTGCCCCAGGTATCAATGGAGTCCGCCACCGGCCGGAGGAGCTGGGAGCGCTGGGACCCCTCATCCTGCATGCGCTTGTTCGAGGCCTTGGCCTCTTCCAGGCTAGTCTGCGCAGCGAAAAACTCGTCACCCTGATTCCCAGGGCCCTGGAGGTAGTTTCGCTTAAGAAGGGAACGAAGCTTCTCTGTATCCAGCTGCCGGAGGATTGACGCACCCTTTGCCTCCTCGACACTCTGCGCGCCCGCCTGCATCTCCACGATCACATCCAGCTGGGGGTTGATGTGATCCAAGAACTCCTCCTCCGTGGGCTTCTTGGGCTGCTTGTCCACCGGGCCCGAGCTCTTCTTGGTGATGTCCATCGCCGCCGCCAGCTGGGGATGGAAAGCCCTCGTCTCCTGGCTTGGTTGCCAGTCATCCCGGAGGTGGGGTCTGTCCCCTGCCTCCTTGTCGGCAAACTGCACCTCGTCGAAAGGCTGTGTTGCCACCGTGTGAGCCAAGCTAAGCCTCAGGGCCATAGGCACCTGGTCGGCGAAGCTCAGCTCCTTCTGATCCGTGGGCCTGGGTGGCGGCTGCCCAAGAGCCAATGTCCACGGAGGCGGCTTCCTTCTGGGCCTCGTCGGCATCCGTGTGCCATGTGACACCCCGGGGGCCACAGAACATTCGCCAGGAGGACTGGCCTAGCTTGATCTCTGCCGAGGGCGGGCCCTTGTCCACGGCGATGACCGACTTCTGGCAGAGCTTACACTTCCCCTCAACCTTGTTGTCCTGCCTCTGCCAATCCGAAAAGCAGTTCGGGCACATGAGGGTAGCCCCCGTGCTGCCCGGGTCAAGCTGGCCCATGCTGCTGTGCCCCACTCCTCTGCGAGCACGGTTGTAGGGGGCGGCCAGCATCTTCTCCTGTGCCAGCTGTCGTTTGTAGATTTGGTACACCTCAAGGACTCGTTCCACAGCCGGGCGGTTCCACTGCTCCGCCTTGAGCTCGGAGAACAAGGAGGCGATCTCCTCCTTTGTCAATTGCTGGGCCCAGTCTGCACTCTTCTTGCCGATGCCGGGGAAGTTTTCAGGGAAGCCCTCAATTCTGAAGACCTTCTCCTCCAGGGTGCCGGCGGGCAGGGCCGAGTAGGGCCGGGGCTTGTTGGCATCGTCCTTGGCCACCGTGTCGCCGCCCTCAGGGACAAAGTCACCTGTGGTTGGCACCTCGGGCCTGTCCATGGGGTCATCCGTAGCAACACCCTCAGGGACAAAGTCACCTGTGGTTGGCACCGCCGGCTTGTCCATGGGGTCATCAGTAGCAGCACCCTCAGGGACAAAGTCACCTGTGGTGGGCACCTCCGATCCCGTGGTGTACATGTCCTTGGACAAGGGGCTGTCCTCCTTGACCGCCACCATCTCGCTGCCCTTGGCCAACAGCCGTTTCATGGCAGCTTCCATTTCCTGGAGTCGCAAGTCCATGCTGGTGTCATCCACCTCCAAAGTCGTGAAGGAGGCCAATGCCGAATTGGCCGACTCATCCTCATGGGCATGGACATTGTGTGCCAAGGTAGCACGAGCCAAAGCCACTTCATCGTCGGGCTTTTCCCATTCCTGATCACTGTCTGCGAAATCACGAGGGGGCACCAAACTCTCAACGGTCTCCATGCTCGAAGCCAGGACGTCATCGACATTGGCGACGGGAGTGAGTGCCATGATCGACGGTCACAAAGAGAAAGCGGGAGCGAATGTTTCAAATTATGAAGGACCCACGGTCCACGATCTTGAGCCAAAATGGCAGAGCCATTTTGGCAGACGTCTCCTGACATAAGTCTTGCAAGTCGGCAAGCTTTGTTGCAAGTAACTAATCTAAATAACTCTCCCGGGCCTCCTTAAAAGGTTTGAGGTGTTTCAGCACGAAGTGATCATCAAACTGCGAGATGTGCTCCTCGCAAAAAGCAGAGCATGCCCCAATTCTCTATTCGAAGCTGGCGTTCGCCTGCATGAACTTTCTGGTGGACTGGTTCTTGGCCACACGCAGGGCATCATCAGAGACTCGGCCGTGCGGAGATATGAACGCCCCTATCCTTCGCGGGTGTCGGAGAAGCATCTTCAGTCTTCGCCAGATTCTGCAAGAGTCCTGCGAATCTCGTCTGCCGTCTGCTCCACCAAGTCTTCGAAAGAAACAAAAAGCCTTCAGGCACCCACAGGACATGGGCAGGCCATGGGTCTGGAGGTGAGGCGTGAAGTAGCAACTGAGACCAGCACACCTTCTGGCTGCCTAAGCAGCATGAAATCCACGACCTCTCATCCGTGCAAATGCGCTGAGCATCTTACGAGAGAAAGGCCGAACAAGCGCTTGCAGCTTAAGTCTATAAGGCAATGACCTCATGAACTTCCAAACCTCATTGCTCGACTCATGTCCGAAGATGCCCACGGCGAAGTTCTCCAAGGAGATCGCACCACGGGAAACGCGAGCGTAGTCAGTCCAGGAGCTGTTGCAGAAGCGTCGGTATCTGGTCAAAAAGATTTTCCGAGGATCACGAAACAGAACCACAAATTTGGCATCCTCTGGCAGCTTCTCATACAGCTGATGCGTCTTGAAGAGGCGTGGCTTGAAAGGCTGATGTTCATCCAAGTTCTGCCCGCAGAGCTGCGCCGCATGAAACCAGGGCACAACTTCGTTGATGTCATTGAAAGACATGTCCCCTTTGGACCGTAGCCCATGTGCCACCTGCGTCAGCATGGTGATGCCACTACCCATGACGCCCACGAGAAACACGTCCGAAGGCAGGGGCTCGAAGGGAATCCTGTGCGACGATGACTCATGGCGTCAGCGTTGTGCTCAGCTAATGCTCAGCTACAAGCACAACTGGGCCGATTCTGCCAGGGAGCACGGGGGCAAACTTGTGAAAGACGTCGAGATTGAAACGACGGAGCCGGTCCAGGGAGCCATCGTCCATTGTTCCAAGGGCGGCAATCGACATGTTCTCGGCTTCAGAAGGCTAAGCCAAGCACACAGACACAGCATCACTGAGCCCCAGCACACCGTACACAGTATACCCACAGACCAGCCGCACTGAGCTTGTCCAGTTGATTGGGGCTCAGAAGTTTGGATCCCTGCCCCTGTTGCGCCACCTCGCGATGCTGACGGCGACCGATGCCACACGTCAACAGGCTCTGGATTGTGGCAAGTCTTGGGCTCCTGGCATGCAAGTAGAAGATTGCCGTGGACAGAAGCGCCAGGAAGGAGAACAGGACCAGGCGCAGGTTTCCATCGCCATCCTTCGTCAGTGCCGAAAGAATCAAGGACATTCCCCACTGAAGTCGGGGGCCTGGATATCAGCCTCATGCCGCCAGTCAGCGAAGCCCAAGTTCTCCTGCACGTCCGATATCGCAGGACACACCTAATTGCGTGCCGCAGAATGCCGGCCTCTTCTTGAGCGTCACGTGGATCCTGTGTGGACCCAATTGTGCGGGGCCGGACGGCCATTGCAAAGCCATGGCATCCAAATCGTCGCTACGCTCTTGGGCCACCAACCCAGCGATCCAGCGAAGAGTCACCAACCAACCAGATCTAAACTGGCACACGATGGCCGGGCCTGGACAAGAGAGGCTGCCTCCGTCATCAGTTCCGAGTCGTCTGGAAGACCCGCAGCTTTGGCTTCGCTGAGTGCCACCTGCGAAGTGGCGAAGTCCCTCCGTCAGATGCCCCGACGGCAGAGCGACGGAGACCTGAAGAGCTCCGACTTCCCCGCGACGCAGAGCAAACCTGGACTCCAGACCGCAGCTTCTACTTCCCTTCATTGAACTCTGAACTGTCTGGGAATTTGGGGGGCTTCTTGGGGTCATGCTGCAGCGCCATGCGAGATTCCTGCCGCTGCTGCTCTGCTATCTCCCAGTCCTTGGCATGCCGGTGAAGATCGCTCTTAAATGCCGTCATGTTCAGATAGCTGAGGCTTTCGGCATGCAAAGCCGCCTCGGCATCTCGAGCCGCTTCGCGGCCGCCAGGCCTCAGAGCCAGCCATCAAGCGCCCACTAGTCACTAGCAGGTGAAAAAGCTCCCCCGAGATCTCCGCACGTGCTCGAGCACTCCTTCTGCCTTGGCCTCCCGTTCCCGTCGCGGAGTATCGGAACGACCCGGACACATCCCCTTGTGACACCTTTGCCCGCAGCGCCTCCTCCAAGGCTTTCTGCACTGCAGGTCCAAAGCTCTCATCCTGTGTGAAAGCATACGTGGCCCGCATGCCATGCTATGGTCTGCTGGAGAAAGTACTTGGCCGAATCGCCGGCTGGCGGCAAATTGCAGCTGTTGACTGCTGACTATGTGACTATGTATTAAGCTGTAGTCGGGTCCTTGGGAGCTTCAAGACTCGCTTGCAAGGCACACAAAGCGTCGTGTCGACGCTGCGTGCGCCTGCCCATGATGGGGCAGAGATGGACAAATGAACGTGATGAACGCCTCACCACCACATAAGCCTGACCTGCTGTGCGGTCAGCTTGAATAGGCCTGCGAAGTGCGAGGTTCAGCTTCTCCTGCGCTTCCTTGCCCTCCTCCTGCAAAATTACAGCCACTGGCATGCCCACAGCAACACGGGCATTGGAAACGGAGAATCTCGGCATCCCACCGGCGAAAGCCCTGCCTGAAGACGAAGTGTGATGCGCGAAGATAACACGCAAGAAACACCCGCGCACTGCAGAGCTTGAGCCCAAAGAATGGAACCCCGACATCGGTCTTGTCTGACGCGCGGAGTGGAGTTCAAGCGCTGTGTTGCGGCAAGGTACCGTAGTGTGAGAGATTCTGTTCGAGAATGGCAGTCAACGTTCGGAATCAGTGGTGGTTTTATTGGCCAAAACTGAATCAACAGTAACAACAGTACCGTGGACAACGTTGTGAACACGCACACGAATGTCAACGAGTCGAGGAAAATGTGAAGCCTTCCCGAGCCGGTCTCTTGCATCAGTTACCGAGTCACTGTCCGGAAGAATCGTTTGGCACTGAAATCTGCAAACTGCTTCTGCTTCTGCACACTCACTCACGCACGCACTCACCCACCCACCCACCCACACTCACACAGTCTCTGTCTCTGTCTGACGTTTCTGTTGTAGACCCCACGTGGACAAACGACGCTGGCCAAATGCACTCAGCTGCACATGACGACGTGGACACATTACCACATGCGTACACGTACTTCCTCAACCTCGTGTAAAACCCACACTCCTGCAATGCAGAGATTGCAGGAAGCGTGCCTGAAAGAAAGAGCGTGGAAACATATCTCATCTGTTTGCCACAGGAGGGCATCCTTTCAGTGGCATGCCCAATTGAGCAGGCCAGATGTCCCAGCACAACCGTAGTTTATCGTAGTTTCGCTCCACCTGGGAGATTACTGAGTTCTTTCAAGTTACCAACTATGAGCAACCCCGTGCAGTGACGGCATCAGGCCATGCTCTATCCGGTTTCACATGCACACACAGATCATGGCAATGCATCATTCAACAACAGGAAACACGCCAGCATACTGCAACGTTGGCTGACACTGCCGCCATCAGCACTCTAGAGGTGTTGGCTGTCACAGAGTGGCGATATCCTCTGTAAGATAACGCCTTAACTCAACCTGTGAAGAATTTTGTTCATGTATTTTCGAATCCTTCCAGGAGCTAAATCTGCGCAGGCTCTCTTCTGTGCAACATCTGGCCTTCTTGGCGGCTGCCAGAGCTGTGGCGAAGGCCTTTCAATAGAGAGGCTCAGAGAGGTCCAGGTCTGCTCGTACGAACATTTCACTGGTGCCTCCGAGTCAGTGCGATCTAAGGCATCTGCCTGCGCAGCGCAAAAAGCGTCAAAGGCAGCAATCGGTGCAAACAGCGCTGCCGCTGCAATAATCCGAGTAGCAATGAGATCGCGACACTCCTTGAGCTTCCGCTCATGCTCCTCAGCTTTCAACGGCTTTCAACGTAGGCTCTTTCAGAAGCTCTCGAAATGCATCTCGCCTCGCGCAGTTGCTCTTCCAGCCGTCGTTCTGCCTCTCGCCTCGCCTCAGCTACTAGTATCTGCCACTCGCGGCTGCGATGGCTCAGACAGCTCTGCCGCTGCTGCCGCCGCCTTCTCGGCCTCTTTTTCAGCCTCGGCGTCGGCCTGAGAGGTGCATCCAGGATGTGGCAACATGCGAGAACGCAAGCAAAATCTAAATCCATGCGCCTCGCTGGCCAGTGGCTTCTTCTGCCGCTTCCTTTCACCTGACCAGGCACCACCAAAAGCGTCTAAGACCTCGAAGATCCGAAGATCCCTGATCGCTGGCCTTGGCTCTTCTTGGCAGACGGCACCTCGGGTCACCGAGACTCGACCTGCAGTCTTCAAGGAAGGGCCTGTGTAAGTGCCGCACCCAGACAGCGACCTCTGTAGGCCTCTGCTTGAGGTAGTTGTCCTCTGCTTCCTGACATCTGCAAGCTGCGAGACGACTTGCAACAGCAAGCCACCTACAAGCATGTGGAACCCTGCCCCTGTGGGCCCTGCACAAAGCGACGCTACCTACCTCCTCCTCCCCTCTACACACGGATGCAGCAAAGCATGAACTTTGCAAATCCAAGAACATACCCAACAAACGAGCCAGAAAAACTTGGCCGCACGACTTGTAGAAGCTCTGTGCCCTCGACACCTGTTCAGAAGATCGGGCTGCAGGTGGCCAAGCGATCTCTTGATCCACCAGTTCACAATGAGGAATGCACCGGACGATACCGGACGCGCCTCTTTTGAACCCGCACGCGAGGATGATGCTTTTTCATCCTCGGACAGTGTGTGGGCAACGTTGCTCGCAGAGCAAAACAGCTCTGATCAACAGCGAAGTTCGTGTTGCGAACAGAAGCACCAAGGCCGGAGCATAGTAACTCGTGCCTTCGCGCCCCAGGGTTTTCAGATTTCATGTCCAATGTATGGGTGAAACTCATGGGATCCAGGGCATGGACCGGGTGCAGCCGTCGAGGGTCCCGCTCCGGCGGCCACATCTGCCTCAGTCACTGCCTCACCAGGCTCAACATCAAAGAAAGGCCGTTGTGAGGCCCCCACATCGGCTTCTGCCTGCATGGCTGGGTCTAAGGTCGGAGAGGGAATGATCCGTGTGTCTGTGATGCTGCGGCCTCGCTGGCTCGGACCTTCTCCAATGCCTCCGCAGCTCTGTTCTGAAGGCGCTTCTCCTGCCGGAAGCTGCGACATGCTTCCTCGACTGCATCCCACTCAGTCCTGGGCTGTCCCGGGCCTGCAGAGGCTTCAAAGCCAGCGCCTGCGCCAGGTCCTCGATGCTCTCGATGACCTCCAAAAAAACATGTGCTGCGCTGCTCTCGATGCCGCAAGAAGACGGACCTCCTCAAGCGAAGCTGCCCCCATCTCCTCACACCAGGCGAGCACCGCCTCGAGTCACACAGACACGTACACTGGAGGTGTCTCCCTAGGAGCCCCGCCCCTGCCCTGGCCTGCTTCTGGTCTGCGAGGTTTAAGTGGCTCAGCCAGAGACCCACATCTCTTCCCAAGCTTTCAGCCTCATCCTGCAAAGCGAGGGCCACGGAGCTGCGGTGAGATGATCTGAACATTGGAAACCCGGCTGCTCCTCGTCGGTCGGATCCACGAGCTCCGGCGGCTCCTGGATCTCTTCTCCTCCATCTCCGGCGTCGCAGGGGGCTTCCTGACTGGCCTTCGGCATCTGCAAGACAGTGACGAGATGCATCACCAAGTGAGGGAGCATCCGGATGAGGGAGCCTCTATTCGAGTTGGACTTTCAGCCACACTGTAGGCTTCAGTGGGGCCTCCGAGGCCAAAATCTGACGGAGCAATTTGCCGAGGCTTGCAGTGCCTGGCCTGCCGTGGTGTCCGTGCCTAGCAAATTGGGTGCACACTCACCGCGCTCGCTGCGCACTCGCGGCAAATCCAAGCCCGGCACCCCAGTCATCGACGTACTCGACGTTCTCCGTAGGCTCCGGCGCCTCATGCAGAGCCGGCGCCTGCCAATCATCCTGCACGTGGCACATGTGAAGATTATGGGACGGACGATCTGTTCAGGAACGAGTGCCTCGTCCGCGTCAGCTGCGGGCGCAGCACTCCACAGATTCTCCACAGCAGAACTGGGCGGACCTGAGCTCACTGCGCCCTCGAGGCCCTCGGCTTTTTCATTGCTGTCATGTGTTGTGCTTCTGTCCGCATCACTTTTTCCACAGCTCTCTCCATGGGCGTACTGGCGGTGCCTTGCCCAGCCCTTCGTGTCGATTCCCTTCGAGGCTGCGCCGTCTGCGCCAAAGGCAGCTTCAACTGACACCACGGCCAAGCTGATCCTGTATCTGACGTAGGGAGACCAGACCCTCCACGTGTGGCCAGAGGTCTCTGCTTTCTGCTGCCTCCGAGGCTTTCAGCTTCTCTTCTGCCCGCGTACGCCGCAACAACCATCGGGACATCTCCTCCAGACTTAAGCGCTCCATTGTGATGGAGTTTGCCCAGAGGTGTTCTGCAAGATCCACCCAGGCCTCAAGCTGCAGGTCTGGAAACGTACTGAGCAATGCCTCTACCGTTTGCCCTAAACCAACTCCGACTTTGTGACAGGATGTGCTGTTAAGGACCTGCGCAATAAAGTCCATGTGCAGTGAGTCCAGATCATTGAGGCGAAACGTGTACAGGGCATGGCGGCTTGCAAGGTGAAGGGAACACGCTCCGCATGCATCCGAGTCCACTGAAATGCCAAAGCATCGCTCGCACTGAAAGTGCACCAATTCATCCCCAGAGAGCCTCTGCTTGGGGATAAGGAGTCTTCTTCTTTGAACCCCCGGGCAGGCGAAGTGTCTCGTAGGCCCAGATTGCCAGAGGTACACAACGCACCACGGAGCGAAATAGAGCAGAGGTTTGACAAGAATGGAGGCCGTTCTGTGAGAAAGCATGGAGCTTTGATGGCACATACAGATCATGGAATCATTATGAGGTTCGAGGAAGACAAGCTGTTCACAAAAACACCCTTTCAGACAGGCATGCAGTATCCTTTCAGATACTGAGGATTAAACCTTTGGCCCATGCAGAAGGCCCCGTGGAAGGACCTGAATCAAAAGCACATCGCGGCTCGTGGGCCACCTCACCAAGCTCCAGATCTGTGAATCTCTCATCGTGATTGCTCAGGCGGAGGCGCGCTGTCCTACTGGCGTCATCTGCTTCCTTGCATCGGCACAGATCCGACGTCTGAGCTGGAAGACACAGAAGTGGAAGCCCGGCCTCTCCCGGCAGGGATGGACTGCTGCGAGAAGCTCCTGAGCCGCACGGGCCACTTCATCTTAGAAACTTGCATCGCTGCGGCTGCGCATGCCGCACTTTGTCGCACCTTTGGACCATGCCGAATGTCTTCCGCTTCCAACAGCGCTGGCGCTCGCGGTTTGCCTTGTCTACGGGAGAATCGATTCTTCGCACTTCGCACTTGAATTGAAGATCTTGATCTTCAGCTCCGCTGAGACGCTCGTGGAAGTGCTGTAGGCTCATCGGCGTGGCGCGCTTGGCACCTTTCCAGACTGCAGCACAGAATGACAGGGCTTATGTACGAAGCACATCATGCCTCGTCCTTTGCCTCTCCCCCGGTTCGCACCGGCCTCAGACAGCAAGCAAGTTAAGCGCGAAAAAGCACCTGCCACACATCCAAACCCCGGTGATATCGCCAGTGGCTCACCAGGCTCCCAGCATCGCTCGTGGCCTCAACAGTGTTAGTTTTGAACCTCCTCTTGGGCCCTTTTCTGCCTTGCGCATGCACCAGCCCAGCATCCAGAGCCTTCTGCAGCAATCGCAAGGACATAGCCACAAGGCCTGCCTCGGGCAGTGCAGGTAGCAGGCAGCCAACCCTCCACATGCAGCTTGCGCCTCTGGCGAGACTGCTCCGAAATCTCCGCGCGACCGCACTACTCGTCTGTGGGGTGCATCGCAGTAGGGGGTCAGTGACGGAGTGTGCCTTCTACAGCAACTTTCGGTGACCTGTGTCAGCGTTGAGGCTTGTACGGCCCAAGTGGACCCTGTGTGGGTTTGAGTGCATTTTGCATTGTGAGGCATGAGCCTGAGAGCCACCAGCGATTCGGCGCCCGGGAAGTTTCCACTCTCGTCAAGCAATGTCCACCGCGTGTGCTTCTGACGGCTATGACATACGGTCACAGTTATGAATTCTGTGAAGTCAAGACCAAAACCTATCAGGGGACACCTTAAGCAAGGGAGCCTACGAGCTGGGCGCACAGGGTAAGAATTCAGTTCAAGCAGAAATCAGAGTAATGTCTCTAGCTCTGTCAAGGGCCAGGAGTATGTGTGGCGAAGCTCAGTTGCATTAAAGACGGATCCCCGGCATGACGGCCAGCTCGTTGGGCCTCAACATCGTCAAGCCTGGCACGCGAAACAACACTCCTCGTCCCAGCCCGGTCAACTCACGTTCAAGGCTGTTCCTGTCGAATGGTCTGCAGGTATACGCAGAGTTGTGGCTTTGAGGTGTAAGCCAGCTAAACCACAGCAGAATAGCTCCTTTTCGTTGCTCATTCGTGGCTCTCCGATGCTCTGTGCTAGAGCCCTCTCTTTGCTAGAGCCCTCGCTCTTGCTTGGCGCACTCCGCATTGCCGTGATGCTCGGGCCATTCGGAAGTCAAAGCGCGCCAAATTCAGAGGGCAGGGTTGAACTCTTTGCGCCTCCGCGAGGATATCCCACGAGGATTGGCCTCGGCCTCGAGCTGCGGCTGGCTGCTCTGCGGCGCGACGCGGCTCTGGAAGCCCCAAGTCGCCGGAGACAGCTTCGGCTCTGCCTCTGTCACGAAGAGGCGCATCTGCAGCTGGCAATATCGAGATTCTCGTCGAGGCGCAGTTGGGGCGAGACCGCCCGGACGCTTTCAAGATCAGGACTTGAGTCCGAGCACGAACGAATTGCGCGTAGTCTGCATGTCATCGTCTTGGAAGAGCTCGCGCCCTGGGACAGCCAAACACTGACACTGTCTTCCGAGGGGGAGCTGTGAGCTCAACTAAGCTCCCAACTGCAGTTCGCAGGCACCTCCTCGCAGAGCGCCGGGCAGGGGAAGTGCGGCCGATTGCACTGCTGTTCCCTCTTTAGCCCCCCTTCTACTTCATCTTTGCGGGACCTCACCCGAGCCTCGATGAGCAGCTTCAGGCACCAGTAGACGTAGGGATCTATGCCCAATCTCTTTGCGCGCTGCTTGATGCCTGGCAAACGATCATAGGTCGTCACGTCGTCTGCCAACATGGGCTTGCAACTTCGGACGAGCTCGTCACAAGGAAGCCTGGTAACCGCTTGTCCAAGCAGCATGGTGCCAAGACAAAGGCAGCAGGTCCAGGAACCTGCCACTGTCTACCCAACCATCCTTCCCGTATCCTCTCTGAATTTGCCTGCCGGAAGAGTCTCGCAGCATGGATGGACAACATACCGCAAAGGTGGACACCAACGAGCAGCACCAGCCTGCAACCACAAGCAGTCCTCACTGATGGTTCGGGTGTCCGGACATAGTGCTGGGAGTTCAACCCGTCTTTCGGTCGAGACGTGAGCATGTCAACCTCGGCAAAACGAGATGCCACGCAGAGCCAGATATCGTTTCCCATTCCTGCCCCTGCCCTCTGTACCGAGATCTCCGCCAGGTCACCGGTCGTGGAGGCCGATTCCTCAGATCATCCAGACTCACATCCGAACTCCCCAGGCCCCGACACCGCATGTCTTTTCCGGGGCCAACTCCAAGTTCAGCTCTCTGAAGGAGAGGTTGGGACAAAGTCCGAAGTGCGCCAGGTCCTTGCCCAAAACAGCTCAGGATACTGCTCTTCCGTCAGGCATGGGTCATCACTGAGTCATCCCAGCGGTCCATATTCGGATTCAGATCCACCGCAATGACTTGCGAATCGGGAAAAGAGCATGCCAGAACCTGAGCCAAAGCTGCTTTTGCGCAACAAAAGGAGGCTGGAAAGAGCCACTAACAGATTCTTTTCTCAAATTGGTGGTATTGGCTCTCAAACCTCCGTCCGATCCTGGAGCGGCCCTCTTGGCTCGACTAGGACTCTGCAGTCAAGGCCCTGTCCACAAAATTCAGAATCAACCATCACTTTTGCCTCCTCATCTGCTCCGATGAGAATGGTAGGGGCAGCCCCAAGCACACAAAGTTCTCATGATGCTCATGATGCTGGCCCCATGTTGCGGTTAGTTGATGCTTCTGATGCTGCCCAACATGGCGAAATGATCAAGTTGGTCGTCTGTGAATCTGGCTGCTCGGGTTTTGTCAGTCTCCACATCTCCAACTGAAGTCTGTGCAGCACAACACGCGAAGATCTCGAATCTAGAATTGGATGAGAGCTGACTCAGCTCTTAATGGAAGCCAGCTTTGGACAAGGATGAAGCGGGGACGCCCAGCGTCAATCTGCAATACATGCCGGTGGTGTCACGAGAGCCCGCATGCCTGAACTGAGGACAGCACCAGACTTCCGAAACCTTTCCCAGAACACAAATCCACGATGGTCACTGGGCGACCTTGTTGGGAAGCCCACCACAAGTTTCACCACAAGTCTGTGCTTTGTGCCTTTGCTTCCAGTGTCCTGCACAGGCGCTGAAATGAGAGTGCTTGCGTCGAAAAGAGCCAGGTGCCTCCTTCACTGCGTGCTTCCTCAAGGCTCGCTCGCATGCATGGAGAAGGCCGATGGCCTTGCAATGCTTGGAAAACGGGCTTGCCCATCAAGCGGCCTCCTGTTTCTACAAAAACGCGAAGCGCCTTAGGCATACCAGTCACATACGTCTCCGGTGGGAGCTGGTTTCGAAGTTTCCGAATTGCCGTACTGCGGATCTGCCACTGCCAGTATTTCAACCACTATCACCGCGGTCACTATTACGAGGTCCCTTCTGGCAGAAAACAGCTTCTGCTAAATTGCAGAATGGCTGCAACAAGGATGTATGAAACCAGCGAGAGCTGTTAACCCAATGAGGATATGGCGTCTATTTTTCAAGAGTTGTTACACAACGTGCATGTTGCAGCCATTGTGTCAGGAGGCATTCGGCAGCATGTCAGGCGAGAGATGATGAGTGGACTGTGAGCCGTGACCGGAGCGTCAGTGCTTCCGGCCACTACTTATCACGCCACCACCCAGTGGTTATGGTTCGTGCTGATGACGATGATGAAGCTGCAAATGGCGGCGGCTGCTGCTGCTGATGCTGCTGATGCGGCTGCCGCTGCTGATGGCAGTGATGGTGGTCATAGTGATGATGGCGATGGTGGTGGTGGTGGTGGTGGTGGTGGTGGTGGTGGTGGTGGTGGTGGTGGTGGTGGTGGTGGTGGTGGTGGTGGTGGTGGTGGTGGGTGGGGGTGGTGGTGGTGGTGGTGGTGGTGGTGGTGGTGGTGGTGGTGGTGGTGGTGGTGGTGGTGGTGGTGGTGGTGGTGGTGGTGGTGGTGGTGGTGGTGGTGGTGGTGGTGGTGGTGGTGGTGGTGGTGGTGGTGGTGGTGGTGGTGGTGGTGGTGGTGGTGGTGGTGGTGGTGGTGACGATGGCGATGATGGCGGCGATGGCATGATGATGGCATCGCCGAGGATGGCGACCGCCACGACGATGGTGATGATGATGTTGATGATGACGATGATGATGATGGTGATGATGATGATGAGAATGATGATGATGATGACGATGACGATGACGATGATGATGGTGATGATGATGATGGTGATGTATATTATCCCGGGGAACTAAAGGTTAACCCTTGGCAGCAATAGGGATAATAGGGATTATAGGGACTATAATACATCCAAAAGGTGTTTCGACCTTTAGCCTTTAGCTGGAAAGGTGGGTCGGAGACCCCGACAGACAGTGAGAGGACCGGAGTAAAAGAGAAAGGATTGCGGGGCTGGGATGTGCACAAGTGCAAATACCAAGTGCAAGCGGCTGCGATGCGATCCGTGAGTGTTGGACATTGTTGCACTACGCGTTGTAGCAGCCGTGGCCTCTGTGAGCTCCTTGCGGAGCCTCTTGCCCTGGACGTGGAAGAGCTTCTGGCAGAACGGCCTCTGGCGTTTTGAGGTTTGAGACGGCGGGCTGGGGCTCGCGCGGCTCACAGGGGCTGCAGGGTCTCCCGGCGAGTCCATGAGCCGCTGGAGCCAGGGCATTGCCGCGAACTGGAGCGGGAGAAACTGAAAGTCAGAAGTCAGTCAGCCTACAGCCTAGGATTCTCAGCCGCCAGTGGCCTTCTTCAGGTACGGATGCGAACGCACCGACCTACAAGGAACAACGCTGCGAGGCAAAGATGATTGGGTGCATCCGGGGGCCCTGCTCACCCCCCAACAGGAAACGTAGGCTCGCAGGCACGCTTGGCCGGCCCTGTCTGCGGCTTGAGAAAGGCTGCTCGGCTGACTTTACTTGCTCCAGCCTCAGGCGGAGGTGGGACATCGGAGGGCCTGCATCGGAGAAAACAGAAGAACTAAGAACTGGCTGCGCCTTCTGACTGAGCAACTCGCCTGGTGCTGGCGGAGGATCTTGAGAGCGTCACCTGCTTCGCCTGTGCCTTCTCTTCCAAGGCCGTCTGCCTGTCATGAGAGCAGATGCAGTTAGTACCCACCAAACGCCAAAGCACCTGCCACTATCATGCCAGTGGCATCCTGGCCTTGCAGACTCATCATGAACGAAGCGGCAGTTGGCGTAGCCGCAACGCCCCTTGTAGGTGAAGTTACTGCACCTCAAGGAACTCTATCTGTCCAAGCTCAGAGCACATAAAGGCTCCATGGAATCTGGGCTCGCCGCTGCCTTGCAGCGTTTGAAGCCTGCTATAAGAACGGCACGTGTCGGAGCACAGAGGAGATCCACGATTGGCTTCAAGGTACCAGCCTGTATCTGCACGCCGGAATCGACCGCAGCAGACATGCGCGAAAACTCCGTCGGGAGTGTAGAGTGTAGAGCAAAGCTGGCTCTTGCGGCGAAACAGAGCACAAAGCGAGCAGTAGAAAGTTCCAGAGCGGCCATGAACTGCCACACACAGAAAGCTGGCTGTGAGTCGACGTCTTCACCAACCGAATCACTCCAATGCAGCGTCAAACGAAGCGCGACACTCGCAACTGCGTCGTGGTTGCACTGGGATCTCCGGGGCTTGGGTCACCTGGAAGGTGTGTGGGACAACTGGTGCAACCGCGATTCGGCCCATGTTCTGAGCTGACGCGCTCTGTGGCGTTGGGGCAGCAGCTTGCCAGCAGCTGCCTAGGCGGACAGTCCTGGACTCCGCATTTCTGCGACAAGTACAATGACTAGATGTCCATGTATCGGGACAGTCTTCAGCACAGGCCGAGTGGGTTTTGATACTTTCACTGCACCATGTTCACTGAGCCAAGTGACACGCAGAGTTCTGCACGTCACTCGAAGCTCGATCCAGCTGCAGTGCTGCCAACACGAGTACAGTTGGAATGTTTCCTTCCTGATTAACTTAAAATGTTCCAGTTCAACTCTTCCGTTGGTAGCTCGATGCAGCTCACGTATCCTCCCATTGCCAGCCCGAAACTCAGCATTGCCGCTTCTCGTGTGGCCTTGGCATAAGGGGGCTGCATTTGCTGCATGAGGCTGAGTACGAGCTCACTTTGCTCCACTTACATGCTTGAGATGCATTTGCAGGCATCAGGTGAAGCACCCTCTCGGGGCCACGACTTCATTCAGCCTGCACAAGGCAAGAACAATGGATCGCATATGCAGGAATGCCTTGCAGTCGCAGGGCAGCGCTTTGCCAGCTTTTCTCCGCTTCAGGCCCCACTACATCAAACGAAGCGGTTCAAAGATTGACTGTGCAGTTTGCACTGAATCCTGCTGGCAACATCCAGCGTACCCTCGTGCGTCCAGCATTTAGATCCAGGCACGCTCGCGGATCTTCACTGCGATGTAGTCCAGCGCCATCCCATCATCTGCATAGGCAGCATGGAGGGCTTCCAGTTCTGCCTGGTTAGGGCACCGCTGAAGACTCCCTCTTAAAAGCAAAGTACAATCTGGAGACGCACCCTGCCTTGCATGTCATGGACTGCACCTGCTCGGCCAGCCCACGGACATGTTGCACATCTGATCTCCTCAACAGAGATTGCTGCAAAGCCGTGTCGCGCTTCGATAACGGAAGGCATGCCCCTGATGGTAGCTTGCTCACATCTGGCTCGTGCATCCCCAACCAGCGCAGATGATTGCAACTTCTGCGGTAGACCAAATAAATTGCCACACCATCGGGGTCAAAGTCGCCCAAGTACACCTGCATCAACCGAGGAGCCACCCTGTGGAGTTTCTGAAGGAAGCGTCTTGTCAAAATGTCCGGGTAGCCCCTTCCAGTCACAAGGATCAGTGGCAAAGCTGTGAAAAGCTTGCTCTGCAATAGGTGCTGGAAGACGGTGTCTTTCTCAACAACAAGGACAATCTGTGCCCGCTCGCCAACATGAAAGCGGGTTCGATGGTCCAGCAGTGACTCTCCGATGCATGTTCCGGTTGCTCCCTGCGCCGCCACGGAAAGACAGTTATCATGGCTGAATGAAATTTCACCAGCCAAGAGACCCTTCTCAGTCGTAAGGACACCCAAATGGGGCCGACCTATTCTCAATGCACCGACTGCATCGCGCATTGCGCGGTCCATGATCTGCTGAGAGCTGAACAACCCACTACCTTCTGACACAACTCGGTAAAAGAGCTCACGCTGAGTAGCTGTTCGCCCGACCTCGGCTATTGCACCAACTGTAATGCAACAAATGATCGTGACGTAAGCCGTGTTCTCAAGCTTTGGCCTAGAACCCTGACCTCGGAACTCAGAGACTCAGATGATGCCCAAAACAGCCCCGTAACTTGAGTTACAGTTGGATGTGAGAACTCGAGGCTCGCATTGGGCTGATTCGTTGGGCAATGCAAATTATCGCGGCACGTTAAGACGCAGCACTGATGGGTGGGCAATGCCCGTAAAGCCCTCCATTGATGGAACTGCTCCACTCAAGTGACACGAGAGTCGCGAGCTGAGCCGCGCACTTTGTTCAGCCTGTGTACATTGTCCAGGGCGGCAAACAGCCGCGCTATCCGTCGAAAGTTGCGAGACACCAAGGTCAATCGGTGCTGGCGATCAATGGCTGCGTTGAAGTCGCCATCCTCCTACAGCTAGAGTCAGCACAGTGCAGAAGCCGGTGACATCGCGTCGGACATGCAACAGGCCTGGATCAACGAATGGCACGGCTCTGTGAGCAGGATTGCTGCAGGCAGACGCGCGCCGAGCTGGATCTGGCGCCCTGCCTGACAGACTTCGTGAAGGCAGCAGTCAGGAGAACCAGGGATAGAAACTTCAGCACAGAGCAGGTCCGAACTCCTCCGGCCTTGTGGCATTCCTCCTCGGCGTTTGCATTCGCAACGACGTCAAAGACTGCCCGCAGCACGTTGTGTGTAAGCCTGCTCAGGGTGATACCGACAAGGCCTGCGAGGAAAGGGCAAGCGCAACAACAATCTTGGACCTATCGAGGCCTCTCCACGGCCAGGACGATGCCACTGTGGTCCAAGCCACGCATGGCTTGCCCATCGCTCGACAGCTCCAAATCCTGAGTGAACGTTGCCCCCTGCCAAGCCCCCCCCCCCCGAGCCGCCGATTGCCGATTGCCGGCATCGCTGCAAACATTTGCCGAGCATCCGAGCGAAGCGCGGTCTCAGTTTGCCTCGTGGCTCCGACCATGGCGTTGGCTCTCTGCCAACACCGAGAGTTTAAGAGCTCACCGCAGCTTGAGCCAACAAGGGAGCCCGCGCTTGCCAGAACTTGCAAATGCCACCGAAGCACTCAATGCAGCTGCAGGTAAGCCTTGATCCTTGAGTAGATGTAGATCACGAAGAAGTAGGAGCAGTAAAAGGAGACCTTTCATGCAGGCGCACCATCTTTGAAAGCCTCCCCGTGCCCGGCTGAGTCCCGAACACAGCCCAGCATCAGTGCGATGCCGTGAGCTGCGAGCAGTGAGTACAGGAAGAAAAACGAACACCTCAAGACCCACCGTGAGGCCCAAGTTGGGCACTGGACCCTTTACAGAAAGCGAGCACCGCACTGAAGGAAACCGTTCATACCTGTCTGCAGGAAGAAGTATATGCAGTACCTCGCCAATAGCATTGGGATGGAATCGGCGCGGCAGGTGCCAACATGCACTTTACTCACATGCTGAAGGCAACGAGGCACAGGTAGAAGAATGCCGAAACTGCCACACCCGAACCTTTGCAGAGTTCGCGGATGTGAAAGTTCAGGCGGAAGGAGCAAACGCATAGGCGGACGGTCTGTCTTTCTGTCTCAGAGAAAGGCCAAACGATCTCCACCACCAACGATGGTCCTGCACTTTTGCAGACAACGATGCTGGATTATCTCCATGCTGTCGATGCCAGGAACCCAGACCTCTGCATTGAGGTGGAAATACGTGAAAAGCACCGTCACCTCAATTGCAGCCGTCCCTGTGTGCAGACTTTCCACAGCAACAATAAATGCAAGCCTTTAGCCTATTCCCGAGCGGCGCACTGTGCCGGCGACTAGTAAGAGCATTGTGAATGCCAATAGCAATATCCCTCGGCGGGCCATTGAAGGTTACTTCAGTGCTCGCGACACCCACTGTCTGCAGTGACGTGGGCAGCACCCAGGTCCAACGTGAGGCTTGTGCCGTAGAGGAAGTATATCCGAGGCCCCCAAACCTGTCGGCAAGTTCAATGCAGACGGCCATGTATGGCAAATACTTGGCGATGTTGACTTATCTTCTCATGTAAACACGTGAGACGGACAGAGTTGAAGATGTAGTGCAGCTCAATGTAGATGGCACCTGCAGCATTGAGCGTCTCTCGTTGCATTGACGGCTCATTAGGCAAGCATGCCCTTCGATGGGATAAGGGCACTGCTGAAGGGCAGGAAGCCAGATGCAAAGAACTGGGTCACGGGACTCTGGTACCTGGGACATGGGACGGCCTGCCTCGAAGAGGTGTAAAGAAAGCAAATGGGCGCACCAGCGGCACGACGGAATCTCCCGCGCTAGCTTGTTCGTCTTGCACGGGAAAGGACTACCCTCAGCCTGACACATTGAGCCAGCAGCAAAGATCCTACTCGAGCTTTCTTGAGGGCATGGGAGGAAGAGCCTCTGATCGGATGGCGAGTGTCTGTTCTTTGCATAAACATGCGGTGGCCGGTAGAGAAGCAGCTTGCACCCTCCAGACGCTCTGCTGCCAGGTTCCTCTCTTGACGGCCCGGTATCTACCCGTTGAATCCCCGACATCCCCAGCACCGCACGAAAGGAGATTTGCATGCAGGCTGGCGCCTGCGCCTGCTTCAGAGATCGATGCCGTCCTCCGGTGAAGCAAACCACTCGCAAGACTCTTCAAAGACTATGAGGATTCCCTGGGTCTCTGGCCTATGATCCCACCAAGCACCGTCAGTGGGAATGTAACACATGCCCACATTGCGAACATCAGCAATCTGCACAAGGCGAGATGCTCGGCTGGTCGGCATTCTGTGAATGAAAGGCCCCTGGAATCCCCGAACCGCGCACATGGTCGGGAACGGGAAAGCCGCAGTGGAGCCATAGAAGATGGCAACCGTGTTCAGAAAGGACCTGCTGCTGGCATTGCACAGCCACGGCCGTAAAAAGCCAGAAACTGATTATGCAGCTTCTTGATACTCCAGGCCCTCTAGGCCCTCGGCCAAATCAAGAAGGCCGGTCCCATGAAGCAGAGGGCCGTCATAAAGATGTTCCTTTCAGGGGCTTCAGGCTGCCGTGTTCGGCGAGGTCTCTGGCCACTCAGAGAAGACGCAGACCCCTTTTCCCCTTTTTGCTGAACCCGGGCAGTCCAGGCCCACTTCTCGCCCCCGAGCTTCTGGTAGAGGTTGGCACTCACAAATCCACCTAGAAGAGCTGTGACCTGGTGACGTTCAGATGCAACTTAGCCTTAGAGCCTTAGCTCTTCCCCCCCGGTGTGACCACAAGGCTACGGCCATGTAGGAGATCACTGCGGCAGAGGCAACCGCTCCGCGCTGGTAGTAGGCTCCGATGCAACCAACGAGCACGACCATGATCATCATGCTGAGCGGGAAACCCAAGTCGGGCCACGTCTGCCACATCTGCCCTCTACAGAAAGAAGTATGGGAGCCTGGTCATCTGCGCGCCGGCACCTATCGCCTTGGATGCAGTGAAGGACTACATTCACTACATGGCAACACGTTGCACCGCAAATCGCACAGACTGTAGAGGCCGAGCTGCTGAGCAGAAGAAGAGCCTATGCTTGGGAGCGCGAAAGACATCCGCGTGCAGTAGCTTCCAACCTGGCGACAGCCCTTTGCCTCGACAATCCCAGAAAGGCAACAAGCGGCACAGGCCTGTCTCTTCTTCCACTGCATTAAGCTCTTCGTCTGGAATTTGTAGATATCTCGACAAATCCTCCGGGAAGAGCTATGATCTGCGACGGCCCGTGCGCGAGCAACTGTCAACTGAGTATCCGTACTGACCGCACCACGCGGATGATGATCAGAAGAAACAGCGACCTTAGCATTCGACGGCTCAAACATTGCACTCTGCGTAACGGCTGAAGTCTGAGAGGAGGGCAAGATGAGCAACATCAAAACGAAGGAGTTGATGATTGCGAGCCAGTGAATGTCCATGTTCTGGTGCCTTGGAATGCAGTGCTGCAGACTCCACACTGTAGCAGAAAAGACAACTTGCCTTGCTGACTGCTCGCCCGCAGGGCTTTCGGCGGAGCCAGCATTCCCAAACTTCAGGGAGTTCACGGCATTCCCTTGTCTCTGTCATTTCCCTTCCGGCAGTCTCACTGGATCTGCATTCCAAACCTGCTGCCGATTTCTCGTGGGCTCTCCCACTGGGCTGTACCGCTTTGTCCGCGGTACCGCTTTGTCCGTTGTGGCATGGCATCTTTTGGATTGTTGAGCATACGCTCGACCTGGTTTTTCGTCCGGAGTTATGCTTGTGTGTCACGATGACTTTCCTCCGAAACGCCCCACTAACGTCGCGTCTGCCACCTCCGTGCTCTGCGGTTGCGAAATCTGCAATGGCTGTCATCCTGAGTTGATTGAGCTAAGTTTCAAAGCTTCGGTTGTGGAGGCCAACACTGGCTGCCAAGAGCAGGAGTTATGCTTTCACCGTATGCAGTCAATCTACGACCCGCAGACAAGCAGAGAAGCTTCCCCGAAGAGCAGACACTCAGGCCGAGCGGCCCATGTGGCATCGTGGACTTCAGCTGCAGCTCCAAAGCTTGGGAGGGAAGGATGTGTGGCCTCAGGGGCACCCCGGCCCGAGAAAGCACGAGAAACGCTATCAGCGAGAGCTCTTTCTGTTCTAGGCATCGCGACAAGGGCGTCCACTGTACCGAGTACGAGAACTGGATCACCTGCAGCTTTAGCGGCTGCTACAGTACTTGGATGTCTTTCAACACGTTTCCGGAGCCGCACCATTCCCTCTTTCCACTCGGTGATGTCGACCAGGTGCTCTAGGTTGAGCCTCAAATTTCGTGGCGTTTCAGACCTAGACGTGCTTGGCTACGAAGTCGAACGCAACACATCATCTCGGCCGCACACTCCCTGGTCACGTTTGCGGACACCACCTCGTCTAGAAGGCCATTGAGCATCTAACTCGCTCACCACCAGACGGATCTACAAGGACGGTCTGCTGGCAGAAATGCGGCAGGCCTCCTTCTCGTTGTAGCCGATAATGAAGTCCAGGTAATTAACAAGAAAGTACCTTTCGCCGCAGAGTTCAGTTTACGATGCTTCACCACGATCGAGCCATCAGTCGTGTGTCGTGCTCCGCCTGTCAGTGACCTGCTCATCCTTTTCGTTCCCCATTGTCGACACAACGCCGAATGGTCTGTCCTGAGACGGCACGGTGCTTGCCCATGCAGGAACACATTAGCAACCTGCAATCATCTTGGCACGGAGCAATCGGCAGCTCACCAACGAAAAGCTCGAACATGTAATTCTGATCTATGGCTTCCTGGCACACGAGCAGAGTGTAGCACATGGACGGCCGCAGGGCTTCCGACGAGGTCAGGTTGAAAAAAGCCAGGAGAGCTTTGAGCATACGAATATCCGCCTCGCTCATTCTCCTGTGAACAAACACGTCAAAGATTGCATGCGTCTTTTTGATGCTTAAACTTAAGAGTGCTGGCTGCTCCCGTCCTTGAGCAAATCACCGTCCTTGGGACTTGTCGCTTCATATGCATTGGGTACAGCGAATTCACCTTGGCACAAGCGGGGTGCCACAGGGTTGTCGCTTGGAGAAAGGAGCCCGGCTAATCGATCTCCACGCAAGACCTCACGGAGAACAGCTGTGGAGTTGCATAGATTTGGAAAATTCGGAACAGCAGGACAGCGATAGGAGGAGAGGGAGTCCGTCCTGACCAAGGGTCATGAAGTGCGGCATCACGATTTTCGGCTTGCAAAACGGGAAGTCATAGTACTCGTACCTGCCATGCACAGATTCCACATGGCAGTCCTGAACTCACGCAAGCTCAACTCCAGGCAGAAGTACGTCTCGGTGGGGTTTGAGTATGGCCAGGCTTTATTCATGCCTGGAAATGCCAAACAGCTGTCGCAGCTGTCCCTTGCTGACAGTACGACGAGCCCTCGGCTAACTTGAATTTCCGCATCATCTTCGAAAGATGCATCCGCCACAGCCTCAGGAACGAAGAGGATCACACCAACTGTCGAAATCACGGCATAACACACAGATCAAGATCGATGAATCGATGACAGACCTGCCACTAAGCTCCGTGGTGGAAAATCTTGGCAAGCCTTTTGCTGCAGTTCCCCGTGAGGTGCCCACCAGCAACGTCACCAAAGCGAGGTAGCTCCTCCGGCTCCTCCGCATTTTGGGCCTGTCACTTCTTTTCTCAGATTCCGGCGTGCATGGTGGGGACAGGCCAGGCAGAGCTCACCGCTAAAACATTTCTGGGCTGCCAGCGAAGAGCGGCAAGTCCCGCTTACGTTCCCATGCCCCCCCGCTGCTTTCCCTAGACAAAAACGTGAAATCGCGGTGCCACACGACAAATCGCGCTGGAAGAAACTAGCTTACGATGCCCCCAACTTCAGCCTGCATGCAACATGCTTTTTTGCATCATTTTTGCAAACGATGAAGCTCCGCTTGATTAAGCAGAGCATGCAAGAACCCGACATTCACACACAGTGCCCGCAGATGCCGCGAGGATTCACTGGCTGCTTCGACTCTTGATCGGCCTCAGCGGCGACAAGGCCAGCTACTTTGGCATTCTTGGACAGGTTCTCCAAGTTAGAACATATCTTCAGCATGATTTCATCAGCAATTCCTTCTGCTGGCATGGTGTTCCGGAAATTGTGCTACACTGCTCAAAAAGCAGAGGGGGTTCTCTGCGGCCACTTGCGAGTGGCACGCAGGCGCGGAAGCATTGCTACATGCTACTCGGTTGCGACTCCTTCGTTCTACCTTGCTTATTTGTCGATTTCCTGGTTGCTCTTTCTGACTGTTATTTGGTTATTTGTGTACATGCTTTGTGCCTTTCTGTCTTGTTTTGGTTCGTTCTCCCGTTCTCTCCTACTCTCATTTCTATCGTCTTTTCTTCTTTGTGCCCTTGCGGGGACTGGCCGCAACGTCAGCAGCCTGATCCCACGTGTTTGCCTCATCTCGCCTCCAGCCTTGCCTTGTTCGGCCTTCTCGCATGTGTAGTGGGGTGTTCCAGTTTAAAGCCTCGGGAGGTCTTAGGGCTGGGATCTCTTTGAAAGTATAAAGTCCCAACTGTTCTGCAAGCCGCTCGAGTGCCCAGGAAGTGAGTGTGATCACCTTCGAGCTCGAGCTGGTTTGAAGGGACTCCAGAAGGACGGAAAGGATGCCGCTCTTAATGATCACGAACGGCAGCATCAGCAACCTGAACCGCTGGGGAATCAAAGCTTCCCAGCTCCGGCCCTGTCCCAAAAATGAGCTGCGCACGTGAGAAGCAGAGGCACGAAGATGTGGCAGTTGAACCGCCTCACCTCTGGAGGCAAACTCTCTGCATGAACGACGCTGATGACGCCCGCCACGCTCTTCGAGTCAGCCTCGATTCAGTCATCAGATCGTAACAGCTCGCTTCAACATGGGCTCTTTGCTCATCCAAGATGCATCGATACCGGTCTGAATGGTCTGCATGGCTGTTTCCTCGATCTTCATGCGAGAGGCAAACTCTACGACATCTACAGGCTCAGGTGGCCGTGATGTTCACGCCGTTCTGAACGCGCTGCCTCTGGGTTTGAGTGGTTTGGTTGTTTCACCATCCCGGGGCACCCACAACGATTGGATGTGAAAGGACCTGGCAGGCTCGTGACTCGTGGCCCTTGGGGATTCGCTGCATTTTCGCTGCATTTTGCTCTCGACCGCGCCCGGGCCCCTCCCTGCGTCCAATGAACCGGCCATCAGGTGCTTTTCGCTCGACACAACTCGAGAAGCTGTCTACTCTGTCACATCCCTCGCAGATCACCTTGACGGCAGTAAGGGCACGACGGGAAAGTCATTGACGCTTGCGAAGGAATTGCCACGTCGCGCTGCGTTGGGTGCCGTCGGGGGAGGGGCATTAGAAGATCTGCCATAGTCGACGTCCACGCGCGCTCCTTAGCTGGCCGAACTGTGCCCAGCAACCGTCTCCTGGCGCATCTGTCCACCCGCAGATTCCCTGTGGAGCCGCTTACACATAGCCCAGCCATGCTTAAGGCAAGCCGCCATTGATAATGTAGGCCGTGCCTCGATTGCCCAAACGTTTCTCCAGCTCTACCACCAGGGCCAGCGCCCACAGCTGCAGGCCAAGAGGCGAACCGGGGCCCATTTTTTGCCCTTTGCGCTCGCACGAGATTCTGCCTGGCAAAGAAGCAGCTGTGGACTTTCTGCCTTTCTGAGCGCGGCCATGTTGCCGATTAGCTTGACTAACCACACAGCCACTTCGTGACATTACGTAACTACACCACCAAAGACCCCAAATACTTCCCACGTGAAGGGAAACAAGCACAAACAAAAAACAAACACCCTAGCATTGGCCACACTCACAGTGCGATTACATCAGCATTCCCGCAACTCTAACAAGAATGCCAACCAGTCCTGTTAACTTGGCAAAACATAAGAAACACACGCATGGTCAACGCAGAGGTTCTTGACACAAAACAGGCCTTACCGGCATCTGCAGAGTCCAGAATTTGAGTACGAAGAATTGATTCGCCTGGAGTGATTGGCCAACGGATCTGAAACCCTCAGACCCGTCTTTCCGAACTTGGATTGTTTTGCCACCAGGCTCGAGGCCCTGGGCAGAACAGCTGGCGGCTAGGACTCCCTGCTGTGTGCCCTAACGCCTACCCGAAAAAAGCAAACTGCGGAACCCTTAAACACCAAAACCAACACCCCGTCCTGATCCCAAGAGACCACAAACCGCCTAAACCCGACAGTAGCCCTGAAATACTGGAAAAGCAAGACTCGAAGGCCCATCAAAACCCTGCGCTCAGTGATGGTTGCAGCATGTTGCAGCCCGAAGCAGCGCTCGACAGCCTCAACTTGTAAGACCTTCCAAATCCTACCCACAGAGGCCATGTTTGCGAAAGCCGTTGCCTGCGCTGCTTCGGCAGCCTGCGAGGCCCTCGCCTCGCGGGGGTCACGAACTCATTCGCGCTCCCGGCACTGCATCGGAAGAAGCGGCCTCGTCCGCGGCCTCGCCACCTGTCGTCGGATCATCTGGTGACCGCGCGTCTTCCTTCCATCACTGAGCACTTGATTGTCAGCAGTGGGCTACGCGCCTTCCATGCAACTCAAACTCAAGCCACTCCCATGGCTCGGTGATAACACAGTTGTCCAGATGAAGCCCAAAGTCTCTGGAGACATCCGTCGACATCTCCACGTCTGCTGGAGGCAAGCCCTGAGCCTCGGATACGGACTTGGTCACTTTTGTTTCCGGCCCTTCCCGATTCCCGACTGTGGACTTCACCGATGGGAACGCCCCCTGAGCTTGGAACCTCTTTGGGCTTGTAGGAGCTACTTATTCGCAGCCTGAGACGAAGAAACTGCAGGCGGTTTAGGGGCAAGGACGGCTGCGCCTCCGTTCGGCAGCAGACTGAGGAGCGCGCAAAGAGCGTTGCCAGATCTGATGCAGCAGTACAGGCAACCTCAATGCCGACAAGACACAGCCAAGTGAGTGAGTGAGTGAGTGGGTGGGTGGGTGGGTGAGTGAGTGGCGAGTAAGTGAGTGAGTGAGTGAGTGAGACATCCCTCTCAACTTCTTAGGGAGGTTCCGCAGGCTTCATCGCCACCCGCCATCACTGAGTTCAAACGGGGAGAGCAATATGGTGCAGACAAGAGCCGCCAAAGTGCAGGTGGCATAATAATTGCAATGGCCAACAAAGCAAGGACACCGTACGAGGGCTCAATTTCGTTACGACACGCACTGTAGCAGTAGCAAGCATAGCCAACACACGACATCAACAGGCCAAGCGCGGAGGGAGCTCAAAATCACCACCTGCAAGCGGCCCAACAATGCCCACGTCACCATGGCAATGTAGCAATGCAGCAACCGCAAGCAAACAGGAAGGGCTCAGTAGCACCCTTGCCCAAAATACCAGATCCATGGATGCACATACGAAGCATTCCCAAGAAACAATCTGCAACGGCACTGTCGCCCTACCACACCACGGCGGGGAGAAAGAAGATAGGCTCTTCGTCCACATAGCCCTTAGAGCTGCCGTTCGGGATCCAGACCTTTCCCACGAAAAGCCCCCGCACAATTATATCAGACCAGAGCTACCATGTATTATCCAAACGGAGCACACCACACCATGACATGCCACGACAGATACCATGCCATGTCATTCCACGTCATACCAGCTCTCATCAAACCTTTTCACATGTTCTCAAATGCTCGTATATCAATGCATAAAGCATGAAGCTTATACTACATACGGCGTATCCTACATCATGTGTCACAATTCGTGCTTCATACACCATCCACCATGCATCACATATTATGTATTATAAACCAGCTGTTATACAACATTATACCACATACCATATGCCATGGGATGAATCATATCATATCCTATCATACAGTTCATACAAGATCTTACCAGATATCAGATCTGCTCATGTGACATGCGATCGGGCCGCTAAACTGCATATCTAATCACATCACCTCACGTGATACCAGGTCTGATCATATCGTACTACATGATCCCATAGTAGATCGTACTAGGTCATAATATACCGTATCGTACTGCATGATAAGGTATTCTGCGAGATCCTACGGTGCTACCATCTTATCCGCCGACACCCGCTGTTGCCGTTTGCATAGTCCCTAATATGGTAGGCAGGGGTAGGATTTTAAGGTCTTCCGATGCTAGAACCTTTTGCGACCTCCAAAGCTGCTCAGCTGCTCTGTCGAACGATAACGACAAGCCAGAGCCCTAAGTTCCGACCTGATAATGCAGGAACAGGTTGCGCGCTGCTTTATCACATTCTAAACTGTATCAGGATTTCAATATAATCCTGGATAGATTATATTGGTTTAGGCTACATTTTATTAGTACACTATATGGCTCTATGAAACAACATTCAGGCATGCAACAGGAGCAGCAGAAACCATAAGCTGCGCGAGTCCGGCAGGAAAGAGACCAGCTCCTGTACTCCTCAGGGGTTCAGACTGGAGAAGCCGCTATCTGTTCCGGCATCGATACATTGAGTACACTTGTCTTGCCAAGCCAATCCTTCGCACTGGAGCTCATCACCGAGGGTCTGGACAATTCCGTCAATACTTCTCCGAAGAGCAGCATAGTCCTGCAACAGCGGCAGCAGGAAGCCTTGAGCTGCAGAGTGTCTCCCGATGTCCTTCATGC